TCCTCCTACAGCACCGTGATCACTCTCAGTATATAGACCACACTCATTAGCACTTTCACAGAGTTTAGCTCACCAGCTATCAATAAAACTTCTTTACATTGACCAAGCCTAACACGCATTGAGTCTACCATTAAGAGACGTGACACTTCGACAACGCTCAGTTTACGCCCTATGCAATCTGCAAACAGAAACCTAGAACGGCCTAGTTTCATAGTTCGGAACCCAACCGTCACACACCATTGCCAGAACTTGTTTTAGTAGACGCATCACTATTGCAGTCTAAGTGGTCTTAGGTTTGAGAGTTACCTAATTTCCTATTGGTTAAGTGATAAAGCATTAGATTTTTGTTTTATTTACTTATTTAGTTATGTTACAATTGGTTACCGTAATAGCGCTGTAAGGCTTCTATAAGGTAGCTGTAGCACATCCATGATTGCTTGCATAGCGATTATGGCCCGATCTTTTGCCCTGTGGTTTAACGGCTTGTGCAACCGTTACAAGTTAATCTTTATTTTTAATAATGTGTAGGATAAGCGAGTGAAACACCCTACTTTCTACCTCAAAAGCTAATTTTCAAATACTTCTTAAAAAATCAATTTAGCTTTAAATTAACTAAAAGCTTTATATAAGGTAAATAACTATAATCTAACTTTATATCTTTTATATAAGAAAGTTACCAAACTTACTTAAAGGGGTATTTAAAAAGTCTATTTGCGACATAATATATAATATATAATAAGGTTTTATATAGAAAGTAAAATAGCTAAAAGTCTATAAAAATAATATTTAAGTGTAAATAACTATACTATGCCTAGAAATACGTTTTTAGATTTTTAGCTATTTTATTAAAGCTTTAAGATACTCTAGGGTAAGCTATTTTTAGCTGCACAGTATGCTGTTTCGCCCGCTTATCTGTTTCGCTCGCTTATCTCGTACGTTATACTAAAGAAATCACTATTAAAATGTGATGGTTGTGTTTCCCAACGAGTGAACCAAACCGTTATAGGGTTTATGTTGGCAGGATCGTAGGGCGTGATGTCTGAGCGTAGCGAAGATATCACGTCTCTTCATGGGCAAGTAAACGCGTGTCAGACTTTATTGGCGTAAAGAAGTTTTATTGATAGCTGGTGAGCTAGAGTCTAGGAAAGTGCTAATGAGTGTGGTCTATATACTAGGTAGCTCACGAGGGAGTGTGTGAGTCCGATGATGATGACTCAATGGATTGGAAGTGAGTAACATGGTTCTGCTCATCTATGAACGTCTGGAGACCAAGGCTCATTTGCATTTTACGCCTCTAGACATTCTTAAGACCGTTGTCTTCTAAAATGACCCATAATGGTTTTTGACAGGCCACGCAAAATAGTGGAATGCGTTTCGTCCCAATTGGCGCCTGGCACAGAGTTGATGACGCACAGAACACTGATGTTGATGCCCCGAGGAGATCGGATAGGAACAGCAGCATAAAATCTGGCGACGCTGCCAGGACGACAATACGAGTGAAAGCGCGGGCCTGTGGCCAGGTCTTGGACAATGATAACCGGTAGCTCCGCGGAAACAGTTTCCTCGATTGACTCTTCAATGCCCCACGAGATCTTGCGTTAATTAGCACGCAACGTATAATCATAGACCCCATCACCGCGAGGAATAGATGTTCCACAGAGCCGAAATGCCTCGTTGCTGCTGCTTTGAAATGGGTTGGGCACTGTTGAAGCAAAAATGGGTTGATTGTGTTGTTAGTTCTAAGTTACATGTATCCGAGAGGAGCACAGCTCCTTACTTTGTATCCACATCCCAGCCACTAGCAGATCAGACCACCTTAGTCACACGGTCTCAACAAAGGCTACCTCGTCTTTGACCACGATGAGGAGTGGCGTGATCAGGGCTCCATCTACATTGATGCCCAAGCTGGTGGCATGCCCCAAATGATGTATGCGACTATTCTTCCCAGCGGCAACCCGACAGAGGGAGATATCAGACTCAGCATTCACGGTGTCACTGAGACTGACCCAAGTGTAAGCAGAGTTTCGATACGGAGATAAGGCTTGGAGGAGTGGAAAGGCGAATACGGAGTACTACGAGGGCGATCTCTTTGTGTGTAAGGTTGGACAGTGGCAGTTTCCCGGTGGCATTTTGCCGAGCTACTAGTCGGTCGATCTGGTTTGTGGCTTTTCATGCTAGCAGGAGATTGAGGCACGAGAAGTAGCCGTGTATGTAAAGATATTAAAATATTTTAATTATTACTGACTTTGGTCAGTCTGACAAATTGAAACGGCAACCTTTCCCCACTCTGCTGGCATAGAGCTCATAGCTTGCTCTGGTCTGGAAACTTGCGCAGCATATCAGCCAACTTGTCCATAGGCGCGGCCATGAGACCCATGACAGTGTCGAACGGTGGCTTCTCGCCTGCCCTGGGATGGCTGCGTGTCGGCACAAATTTCTTTGTGTGGTCGAACCTTCTCGCCAAAGACTCCATCTCCTCACCCTGGGCCTTGAGCGACTGTTCAAGAGCCGGCATATCAAGCTTCTCCTCCTCCTGGATGTGCTGCCAGAGCAGGGCCCAGAGTTCCTTGAGCTTCGGCACGTAGTCTGGATCCGTGGATTTCATGTTCTGGAATTCTTTGAGAAGTTCCTTGATCTAATTCAAAGTTATACGCTTTTCTTGATCCATGGTTCATTCTGGGTCTTACCTTGTAGTGTTCCTGACGATCGCTGTCTGTCATCTCCTGACCCTTGGGGCCCATATACTTCTCAAAAGCAGGATAGACTACCAGCTCCTCGCCGATGGAGTGGCGCGCGAGTTCCCAGACGAACTGGTTCCCAAAGCGTTGCTGATGGTCATGGTCTGTAGAGTTTATGACCTCATTGTAGTACTTTTCCAGCTCGCGGTGGCCCTGGATGATAGCATCCGAGATGGCCGATGATAACGCGGCGGTCTGGATTCGCATGAATCTCGGCGAAGCACGAAAGACTTGCGGCCGGAGAAGGGTTCGGAGCTGGAGAGATACGAGGGCGCGCATGGACGACATTTTGAAGAGATGAATAGACTCGTTCGAAATACCACATCAAGGTGGTTCTGATATTGGCTGCTCTACTCATGTACCCGTCTGGTCTTGCCAACATGACGCACGGATGATGAGCTACATGCTATCAGGGATGTCTCCGCAGCGACAGTTGATGCTCAACATAGCGATGGATGACGGACAGGGCGTAAAATTAATGTTGTAGTGCTACCCTTGGGATATGAGGACCAGCCACTCACAGCAAGTCATTTTAATTGCTCTCATATCATTCGACGTGGGCCGGATTGAAAGCTCCTGCCGCACCCAGGTCGACAGATCGGCGACGTCATATGCTCAGGGTACTGGGGCGAGTCATACAGGCACAGCTAGCTGTGCCAATAATATCTGTTATGTAAGAGGCATACGTGGCCTTATTTGACTCCCTTCAATTCAACCATCAACAGCTTCTGCGATACCAATTCAACTTACTGTGCCTTTCTTTATCTATAATGAACCCAATTGACGCTTCTCGTTACTTCCCTGATGACGCCCTTCCTCCTGAAGGCAAATTCAGCTCACGGAAGAAGCTTGTTACAGCAATCAATGCTTGGGCAGCGCCCCCAGGCTATGCATTCTCAGTCAAGAACTCTTAGAAGACCTCTAGTGGAAGAATTGGAGTTATCTACGTATATAACCATGGCACAAAGCCCCCTCGTACCTCATGGAAACGGCTGCAAGAGACTGCAATACGTTATACAGGATGCACTTATCTGTCATAGTGAAGGAAGCCTATGTATGACTACATGGAGTCTAAGGCATTGTCCTGGGGCTGGTTCTGGTAAACACAATCACGAATCAAATCTCAATGAAGCAGTACATCCACAACATCGTCAGCTATCAAGCCTCGATGTATCAAAAGTCCAACAATTCGCCAATGCCGGCGTTGCGCCAAAGGAGATTAGATCCTACTTACGTATGAATTCAGATACGCTTGCTACGCGGCAGTATATCTACAATTGCATTGCACGGGGCAAATGAGAGTTTGCTAAAGGTCAAAGCAATATGTGTGCCTTTGCCGATGAGCTTAACAATGAGAGCTTCTGGAGTCAAATATGCCTTGACGAGAGTGGCAGAGTTACAGTAGTACTATTTGCACACCGAAGATCACTACAATACCTCAAATCATATCCTGAAGTGCTTCTATTGGACTGTACATACAATACCAATAAGTACAAGACGCCTCTTCTTGTTATAGTCGGTATTGATGCTTGTCAACGATCCTTCTGTGTTGCATCTGCATCCCTTAGCGGCGAGAAAGAGAATGACTTCAATTTCGGAGAAATCCCGCAAGAATGCGGCAGCTGGCGCCCGCGCTTGGCTTGCCCGCTCATCTATAACAAGGTCAACGCGTCATTGCCCCGCACCAGCCTCCCTCTCACAAAGTGATATCGCAGCCCAACGCCACGCAAATCTGCCTCTTATGAAGCGATATATATATCTCCTAAAAGCTGGGAAGCCGTTGCCGACGATAAAAGCATCTATTTCTAAAGGAGGGCGCCCAATGGCGCTCACAAAGGCAGAAGAGCGCGCTCTCATTGAGTATCTTCGCAATGTTGAAACCAGCGCTTTCGCTGTGACCGAAGCTTGTATCCGCAACTATGCCAGCCTCATTCGCCAATTTCAACTAAAAGGACCAAAAACGAGGTTATCGCAAGCCTGGGTAGGGAATTTTAAGAAGAGGCACCCAGAATTACAGTGTAATCGTCCCAGAGTCAAGGAAATCCAACGAGCAAGCGCAGAGACCGATATTCCTCGCATGGAAGCCTGGTTTGGGGGTTATGAAGGCACAGTCATAAGAGAGGAAATTCGTCCTCAAAATCTAGGAAATTTCGATGAATCCCCTATACAATTTGGCTGGATTGACAGCAGCCTGAAGCTATTTTCAACTCGCAAGAAAAAAACACCAGGCCTGTTGCTTTTCAGCCGGGGAATAAGGAGTCAATGACCGCCGTGGATGCGATCTACGCCATAGGACAAGCAATTCCTTCTTTCCTTATCTTTGCAATGAAATCTTTGCTTGAAGAATATGCTTTTGCCGATATAGATGAAGATATTATCCTTACACATACGGAAACAGGATTTAATAACAGTCAGAGAGCTCTCCAGTGGCTACAACACTTCAATATATACTCCTTCACAAAAAGCAGCGATTCCGATGACTTTATGATTGAGCAGTGGTTTGGGTACGGTCCCAAGATCACAAGGGAAACTTGGTCGCAAGAGATCGCCTTCAGGGCCTCCAAAAATTCCGAAAAAAATCTCCCAGTTAAGAGAAGGCTTCTTATGGATGGTTTCTCAGCTCATGAGGATCGCCCGTTTATTTAGTATTGTACAATGTTCGATATTATCCCTTATCAACTCCCTAGTCATACAAGTCATCTCCTTCAGCCTCTTGATGTTGGGGTCTATAAGCATGTCAAGCGCGCACAACGAAGTGCTTTATATGACTTTATTGGAGGCGGCGGACTTCAATTATCGAGATTTCAGTTCCTGGGTATGCGGAATCGTTTATACAAAGCTGCCTTTAGAGCCTGTTATATATATGTTGGCTGGGAAAAGTTAGGTCTTTGGCCAATTGACCGGGAAGTTGTTTTAGAACCTCTACGGCGAGCAGCTCACGAGCAAACCGAGCCTTGATTTCCCAACTTCCTTCATCCTGTTACTCCAAGAAAGCAAAAAAAAAAAAAAAAAAAAAAAAAAAAAAAGAAAAAAAAGAAAAAAGAAAAAAAAGAAACCAGTTCAATTCGATACGACATAAGCCTCAAATTCTCAGCAGTCCAACGAGAGCTATCATAGAAGATGTAGAGTCTTCTTTAGACTATGCAATTATCGCCAAATCAGCGCAGAAGGATATTGTAAGATTGCAGAAGGAAAAGCTCAAACTGGAGGCACGCCGGACCGGCACGCTTCGCCGGATCCGTAACCCCGATGGAGGTGCTTATACAATCCGGCAGCTGCGCGAGACGGTGCCAGATCGAGCTCTACTCCTTGCGCAGGTCATCGTCGTTTTTCCCTCATTTCACCCTGATAACAGCCATTGTGCATCTTGAAATTGATTCCATCTCGACCAAGAACTTGGGAAGAGGCGCGATAATCAGTTCTCATATTCCTGAGATCATCAGCCAGGCCATGAACGACCTTATGGAAATGTCACAATACCAACAACATGCCAAAAAAAGCCCTAAGCATCTTGCAAAACCAACTCAAGGTGTGGAGTGGTGAGGAATACGTCAGCTACAGCGCAGCTTCCATCCACCACGATGATAGCCTGCTCATACCGTACCTGAACAGCCTTAGTATTCATCGAAAGGATTCAGACTCATTCTGGAGCAAGACTTTGCGCCATAGTTAGGGGCACAGGTCGCAGAAATGAAGTTGCTGGAGCTTGAGTTTCTATACCGTGTGGACCGGAGAATTGTGCCAACCTAGAGATTCTGATGACGTACTACCAAGGCCTATTCGAGCGCATTTTAGGTACACATTGGCACTGTCCCGCCGGAAATAATGACACGTCACTATACAAAGACGATGCCGCCGGCTAGGCGGCTTATTCCAAGGCCCCAAACAGCATGTGGTTTTTGAGCAATACTCCGACGAAGCGGATGAGCAAAGCAGAGGCAAATGCACCTGTGGTTTCAGAGGCTCACTGAGATAGAATATAGGCGACGGCTGGTCTTGCACGGAGGGGTATTGGGTTCGGAGGGGGATCCACCTCGTCTCGATGAAGTGGCTGATCTAAGTTCATCTCTTTGTACAGTCGATGTCGTATTCTGGCTTGCTGATGATGCAGGTTCAATCGTCTATGACGGTGAGGCACGTCGTTCAATGCAAGTGGTGCCCTGGGACAAGATTGACAAACATGAGTGAATAAATCGGTGATTTAAAGCAGATGGGAGGAGAGCATATGCCAAGAAAATATGGTAAGGGGATGGGGCTGGTGATTTTAGGGACTGAAATATAAAGCTGCCTAAGCTCGCTGCCGTTTCCGCCATGACAGACCCCGCTCTAGTCGAATCTGCAATCTGTCATCATTCTGACGCATGTTGTCTTTTGCTCTCGTCGCTTATTCGGATAGAGAACAGCGGCTCCTCCTGGAATGCCTAGTTAGCACCTCCATTTATAAAACCGAGCCATTGTCAGGTACTCAATGACAAGCTTAGAAGCTGCGGCCACCTTCGACACGCAAAATGTGGGGCATTTCCGTATTTCAAGACCTGTATTTCTCGCTGGTGTTGGCGTTTCGAGCTGGAAAAAAAAACAAGACACGAAGTGCTGTGAGTTACAAATCTAATATCACATCTCACAGCATCCTTGCTGACCGACGAAGGATCATGCTTATGTGTGCGTTGACTGTTACGACAACTTGCTATTGTCTGATTCTGCAGGGTTACTTTGTTCCCGAATGCGTCTATAAGTCGATGGCCGGTAACCAGAGCTTTAGGAATCCGTCTCCTCGTTCGAGCGGCCAGCCAGCGACATATAACGCAAATGTGAGCCCTCTGCTTATGAGAGGGCGAATTCTAGTCCCTAAAGGAATGTTTTTTCTTTCTTTCTTTTTCTTTTCTTTTTTTAAAAAAAAAGAGAAAGAAAGAGAAGAAAAGAATGGAGGAAGGAAGACAAAAAGAAAGATAGTCGAACATGTGCAGAAGCATCAGCCCTCAATGGTCAAGCCATGATTCTCAATGGCCTCACGTTGAAAGCCACTTATGACGACCATTCAGGAGCCTGATTGCTGGACAAGCGAATACGACATGGGAAGGCAGAGTACGTTGTAGAATTGAAGGGCCGGCCGGAGATGAAGAAGTCGTGGTAGAACGAAAGGACGATAAGCCGTGTACGAATCAGTGAGTCAGCCCGCTGGGCTGAAGACTTTCTCCAGTGGTAACTATTCATTAGTAGCTGTCCCTTATGCACTGTGTGCTGGCTTAATTGCCTCCAAGCGGCTTGTCAATGACTGAATTGTAGGATGCGACGTTTCGAGCTGAACGTTGACGACAAGTTTGCCCTCGAGCCTTGCAATGTGGCACACTCAGAAGAAAATATACCTGCTCGCAACCATCGAGAAATAAAGAATGGAACAGTTGAACTGAATCAAAATCAATGCGATTTTCCTCGCAGATTGTTTTAGTTCAAGACAGGAACGCTTCTATGATGTCTTGACAAATGAGAATGTGACAGCGAGAGTTGTTGGGAGATGCCGATATTTTTTTCCCTCATATGAGAGAGTATATACATCTCTATCACTTCTCCCACTTTTGCTGAAAGTGGTTTGTACGCATAATCATTGGCTCACAATCGCTGTGGTTCCTCACAATCCACTTTCACCAGAAAAAGGCCTCTCAATATGACACCCTGATTAGATTTAACGCGTCAAAATGGGATTCAGGCTTCCCAGTTGGCTGGCTTCCTTGTTATATCATTTTCTCTACGCGAATTCGTTTGAGTTTAAGTGGTTCTAACGAAGCTAACGCGTCCCCTGTATGGATTGATTGCAATCCGTATGGACTTTAGTGCCTTTGGAAATTCTATCATCGTCATGCATCTTTAGTCACTTTCGAATATTCAGTCTCAAAGATAACAATCAGTATTATTATAAAAACGCTGTTTGAAAACACTCAGACTGGCCCCCTGAGGCCGCCGAACGGAGCGAGACGACTCTGTCTCTAACATACTCGCCGGCCCGAGCTGTGCGGTTGCTCGCTTTGCAATTATCTTTCTGCTGCTAGCCTAATCGAGACATGATGGACACTAAACACTCCAGGCGATAGGTACTACGGAGCATTTAAGCGTGCCTATTTCATGTCAGACTTGGTGGCTCAGGTCACTCATAAAGAACTTGGAAGGTTAAAATCAATGCAACTTAAATTGCACGCTGATGGCTTACAAGAGGAGGTTGCAATAACCCAGTCAGCCCAGTGAAAACTTCCGGGTAATCACACCCACCACCGTGAGCAGCTCACCTATGGTGTGTGCCAAATTGTTGACACCGTCTAACTAAGATTGTCCGATGCTCTTCTCAGTCACATGTAACTTAGACCTTTTTGATAACACCTCCGATTCCCTCAGTATTGCTTTATCACAGATATTTCATATTGTATGTCAAATCCGGCATTTGATATTTTGTTTGATTTGAAGGGAGTTATTAGTACATTTGTTTTGATTTGTTTGATACTTTGCTTGGTTGGATTGGAATTATGAGCAGTACTGCATAAGTGGCGCATCGGTTGGTCACAATAAGCCACTCACGCAGGCGTTAAAGAAGCGCGAACCCCTCGATGATATCTTGAAACGTGGCGTAATCGTTAGTACTGACGATATCTATTTTCTGACGTCAGTGAGCGTGCGTCATACTGTTACATTGTTACGAGCAGCTATTGTTTAACAGCTTACGATGTAAATAGCGTACTACCTAATGAGGAAATCGGGATTATCCTTGAGCTACTCACATATCAAATTACGCATCACTTATAACGACCTCTAGTCCTGGCAGTTCCTGCCCGAGAAGCGCCTTTATTTCGAGAACTTCCATCATGGCTTCATCAGAGTCCAGAAAGAGCTGTGCGATGTCGTGGGCGTGACGTTTGCGACTAACTCGAACTCTTTAAAAATGTAACTCCGGGGCCCCTTAGCCGCATCCCTAATGGCGCTTGGGGCTTTCCTACCGATAAAGGTTAATTCACCTACGGGAAGGTTATTCTGCGGCAAGACCGTCGCGGTCCGTGCTTCATTTTATATACACGCACCATGGTTATTTCAGCGTGAACACACACAGACATAGTAGAATAAAGCCCAGACTCTCAGATTATTCCTAAGGATTATAGATATGCCTCCATAAATCCGGGAGCAACCGAATCGCGACGTTATAGACCTAGATGATGGCATTGGGGCTTGCATAATAGGCGTTAAACGGCGTCGGCTGCGCAGTTTGCATAGATTTAGCATGTAACCCTCTCGAGCCTCCTACCTGTTGCTAACCAAACATGAGCCAGGACGCAGGGAGCTCTCCACATGCACGATTTAGTCAACAAGGTGTCAGGCATACGGCTTTGCAACGACATGACATGACAATGGCGAACTTTCTGAAACCAGCGCCTACCACAGCAAATAGCTGGACGTTTGAGATTGGTTCAGCATCTTGGCTTGGTTCATCAGAACAAGCCTCCTACCACCGCGTAGACACAATATTACAGTGCAGCCGGCTCCATACGGCAAAATCATTTGTCCACGTTTAGCGTAAATGGCCACCCGCCAATTGAACGCAAGAATTGCCGAACTAATACAGCCAAACCAATCGCACCCACAACGGCACGAGCTAGCGGATTTTGCCATCAGAATGATATCCACTACAGCTGTTGGGTCGTTGATTAATTTATAGATAGTATTTTAACCCTTCCGGCTGTGCTGCGTTGAAGGCTTTACTAGGAAGATTCCATACCCTGGCCCTGCGGATCCTTGATCTCATTCTTTTTGATCCATTTTGCACCTTTCTTCTTCGTTCCGTTAAAGAATCAACATACAACTAAGCTATCTTTGATAGATGGTATTTTCCCTACGATGACCAGCCCCTGTGCGAGTTACTATGTAAGCTTCCATACCTGACTCAAAGTCTAGAGTATTGACCACGAACAGGGCTCTGCCAAGTGCCGCAATAGTGTCCTGATATTTGGTGCCCGGTGCGATTTCTGTTTGGTGCAGTCTTCCTAGACGCAATTGTGTCGTTCCCACGCTAACCCCAAATATGACACTAGACCGCAGGTGCTGGGATGCCTATGAACATCTTGCTGCCTCACCCCTCGACTCCATCCAGCGAATATGCAAACCCCATGAATGAGAACGTACAGACCAATAAGGCAGCTGCTAGTAAGGAGGGTATGGCATACTGGAAGAGAGCCTATGCTGCTCCTTGGTCCGTTCAGAAACTTGTTTATCCGGATGAATTGGGGATTCTGAGACAACAATGATAGCATGTTCTTTCATTCTGATATTTAGTGCTAGCAACAACCACTACCATCGCACTTCCCACAATAGGTCCCGAGCAATCCCATCCACTTAAAGCCTTTGAGGTATCATCTTGCTAGGTAGCCTCGATCGACGTCTAATGAGGGGAAATATTAGAATTGGCTGGGCAGCGGCCATTGAATCAGGCGGCATGGCGGCCGTTTGACATGGTCCTAAATCCATTAAACATGTCTTCGCTAATCTCCGACACCTTAGACCCTTACTGAAAAGGGTTCGTCCTAACTGTGGAAGGTTGTCCGCTTTCAGACGCTGCATAATCAACCAATCGGCGGTGCTGGTAACACTTAAGGTCCCATAATCCATCCGCGGCGAACTGTCGTGGATATAATAGGCTGGAGAACAAGCAAGCAGTCCAAGCACAGATTTATTCATCTAATTGATGATGGACTCCTGGATGAGAACATACTTGCAGTTTATAATGCGGCTGTGACGGGGTCCTCAGGCAGTAAACGGTGGCAGTCTACAATTTGAAACAGGAGGAGATGGCCCCCCTCAACTGGCGTTGCTCTTGTACTTCAAAGTAGCGAGACTAGCTTACGAGGCAAATAACCGTATGCTGATAGCATTCTCCAAGACGCCTTTTTTGTTTTTCTTTCTTTTTTACCTGCTGCAACTAATGACATGGTTTTCTATTACCTTCTTGCTTGTGATATGATAATACCATTAACACGACATAGCACGGCGATGCTACGTCATACATTTCCTTGACCCAAGTAAATTAAATTATTATCCACTAAAAAGGTTTCGTTAATGACGTCAAACTAGAGCTTCACATACGTATTAATTATTCATAGTTTTGATAAACGCAACGGTTAACTTACTAGTGTACATTTATGACGTCAGACGTCACTAGTGCGCCATGAGAAATCTCAAGATTTATTTATAAATGCGGCTTGACGCCCTGTTATTTCCAGGCCCATGCATCTTAATAACTTTCTTTACAAATTTAGATAATTCTGCTACAATGTTGAGTGTTTCGGCTTTCTTTCACAACGTCCTCAACTATTTACTTTCATGGGTACATCCAGTATGATAATCTCATTGAATAGAATAAGAGCATTATAGTTAGCGTGCTAATCCTGTAACAGAACGCCCACTGGGGATGGTTGTCTTGCAATCGCAAAGTGAGTTGTCCGTGATCTCCTATCTTGCACACTTTCTTACATACTGTCGCAGACTGGGCAACTCGAGCGGGAGATAATCCCGCTCGGCAAGAAACTCAAGCTCCTCTTCCTGTTCAACCATATCACTGAATGGATCGATACGACACACGCCATGCGACTTTATATGCACAATAAGTCCCTAGAAAAGGGTATGTCTTGGGGTCAGGGCTGCACGTGGAAGATATTAACACGCGAATAGGTAAGAAAGAGGCATCTCCAGCATCCAAGGAGCAAATTAGCAAATTCGTTGATTATTATGGTATCAACATGAATGACTTTGACCCTTCGGGTATTAATGAGTATAACACATTCGAAGACTTCTTCGCCCGAGCGCATAAAGCCGGCTCAAGGCCGATCCACCGGCCTGATGATGCATTAACCGCGATCGTTGTGGCCGATTCAAGAGTTGTCACGTACGAATCAGTTGCAGAAACAAAGAAGATTTGGATTAAAGGCCATGATTTTAGCATTACCAATCTCGTCATGGACACACAACTCGGTTCAAAGTACGAAAACGCAGCCGTTGCCAGCTTTCGTCTATCACCACAAGACTATCATCGATACCACTCACCTGTGACCGGCAAAATCAAATTATTTCGGAGTATTCCCGGCGACTATTATCAAGTCGATCCTGTTGCTTTACAGAGTCAAGTAGATATCTTAACGAGAAATAGAAGGGCGTATGTCATCATCGAGACGGCTGAATTTGGCGATGTCTTGTTTGTCGCCATCGGAGCAACGAATGTGGGATCAGTCGTGTAAGTGCAATTATGCTCCCGAGGCATGTATAGTTCGGGTTCTAACCATATGCAGCATACACGAGCAATTTCAGAAAAGTGGCGTACAGGTCAATAAGGGTGATGAGCTGGGACATTTTCAGTTTGGCGGCTCTTCCATTATTGTCGCATTCCAAGTGGAGAGGATTAAATTT